GTCCTGTTGCTGGGCACCACTGGAAAGAGCTTGGCCCCATCGTCCTGACACCCACCCTTAAGGTATTTATCGGCATTTATAAGGTGCCCTCTCAGCCTTCTTTGCTGGTGGCATCTCAATCTTTCATAGATTTCATAGGTTTTGTAGCTTTATTGTATTTGGTGCACCAACGTGGAAGGCACAGGCTTTTTTTCTGGGCACCTCACTGTTATATTCAACACAGATTTTTACTCACAGCCTCCCTGCAGGTTTAGCTACTTACATCCTTAAAGTACCTGGCTTGCATTTCTTACCGTGGCCAAGTGAAGGCAGAGTGTGGCCAACAAGGGGAAGGTCTGAGATGAAGCTGGTGTTTACCCTCAGCATGTTTGCTGATGACACCAAACTTGAAGGTGTGGTAGATACACCGGAAGGCTGTGCTGCCATTCAGGGAGACCTGGATAGGCTGGAAAGTTGGGCAGAGAGGAACCTGATGAAGTTCAACAAGGGCAAGTGCGGAGTCCTGCACCTGGGGAGGAACAACTGGAGCATCTCTCCTATGAGGAGAAGCTGAGGGAGCTGGGCTTGTTCAGCCTGGAGAAGAGAAGGCTGAGAGGGGACCTAATAAATGCTTACAAATATCTGCAGGGTGGGTGTCAGGAGGATGGGGCCAAACTCTTTCCAGTGGTGCCCAGCGACAGGACAAGGGGCAACGGGCACAAACTGAAGCAGAGGAAGTTCCATCTGAACATGAGGAAGAACTTCTTCCCTCTGAGGGTGACAGAGCACTGGCCCAGGCTGCCCAGGGAGGTTGTGGAGTCTCCTTCTCTGGAGATATTCAAGACCCACCTGGACAAGGTCCTGTGCAGCCTGCTCTGGGTGACCCTGCTTCAGCAGGGGGGTTGGACTAGATGACCCACAGAGGTCCCTTCCAGCCCCTACCATTCTGTGATTCTGTGATTCTGTGATTTGCTGTTGGATGGTGCTCTGGTATGTCTGTGTGGGGATCCTGACCTAGCAGAGATGTCAGGTTATAGAAGGAGCACTAAAATGTTGTGTGCTCTGTCCTGCCAGGACGGTGAAGGTAAAAGGATTTTCTTACACGCAGTACATGGGCTCCACTGTGTGATCCCTCTCCTGAGCGACTCGGGGTCCCTCACACGAAGGTCCCATCCCCCTTGTGCCTAGCAAGCAGCGCTGCTGGAGACCTGCAGCCGGTGGCTGGGTCTGGGGAGAGATGTGGACTCCTGGCTTCTAGATAGACCCCAGGACGTTCAGGAGAGGATGAGGAAGGAGCCCTGTTTGTTTCAGGAGCTCAGCATCATCTCCATTAGTATTCTTGATGACTTAAATCTGGACCTGAAGTCCCACAGCCCTTCCCCTGTCGTTGACTTGCTCTTGGCCTTCACGAAGGCTTTCTGCTGAGGTTGTCCCAGTTTTGAATTTACGCATTTCTTGTTTGCGCAGGTGACCCTGCACACAGGACTGGACGTGCCCCAATGTGTAAAGCAGCCCAAGCTGCCCAACAACTAAGGAAGCCCCTGCCCGACCCTGCGCTGGGTTCTGCAAGCTTTCGCAGTGTCCTTTGGCACTTCTCAGTAGGTCGGTACGAAAGCGTTTCTCTTCCCTGACTTAAAACATCGCCCGGCGTGTTGCTCGCCGAGTACTCCGCTGGTTACAGCTGGCCCACTCCATGTTTAACCCAACGGTCGCAGCGAGCGTACCCGCTGAACTGGCACTCGAGTGTGGATGGTGACCTGAGCGTATCTACACTGCGTCGCGGGCGTGTGTACCCGCTTGTGCACACACACACACGTACGTTGGTAAAGTGTGAGGTTAAATGAGCAGATTTTCTCTCTCAGGATCCGTGCTCAAGAGGTATTAGGGATGCTGGAAAAAATGGGGAAGACTAAGAGTGGGGAACAACGGCCGTTGGAGCAATTTACCAGTAGGTGAGCTGGTAAACCTTGCCACCTGAGCTCCTTAACTGGAGCCAGCGGATGTTCTGACAGCTGAGTGGAGGCTGTGTGCTCAGTTAAAGAATTCCCGGTTGTCCTTTATGCTCAGGGGCTCAAATGACCGTTAATTATTCCTTCTGGCTCTAGACTGCAGTAAACTATGGGTAACCTTCCCCTGGAATTCAGTGGTAGAACTTCTCTCGTGGTCTGCAAGAAGACTGGTTTCCGAACACTGCCAGGTAATAGCTGTGCTCATTTTAGCTAGCACCGTGATCCATGCGGAACTCCGATATGAAAAGTAGAGAGAAAAATATCCTTGATACAGAATCACAGAATCACAGAATCACAGAATGGTAGGGGTTGGAAGGGACATCTGTGGGTCATCTAGTCCAACCCCCCTGCCAAAGCAGG